ACACACACACACACACACACACACACACACACACACACACACACACACACACACATCGGAACTGCAAATGGACACGAGCTGAAACATATCGAGTGAAAATAATTCATGTACGAACGCAGGAAATGGGGTCATTTGGAGAAATCGTTGGAAAACAATATTTCCCCTGTCARAAACAGAGGTGTACATTATATTCCGCTTCGAAACGGAATGGACACACATGTAAGCAAATACTTGCAATGACTTGCACTTTAGGAGGARGAACAAAACTGATATAGGAGAATCAAACTAAGCCATATTGCTCTAACACTATCTCTTCACCATCCATTCCCGTGGGAATCTAACGCATTATACAAACATTTTTTTTGCCTGCTCTCCTTTGCTTTCCTGCTGACTTCAGCTGAATGCAGCAAATTATCTCTGCTCAGATCCCTAACTAGACCGCTTCATCTTTTCACCAAGCTTTCAAAATGTCTTTCCCCTGCCCTGTTCTTAGAATTGGAATATTTTGTGTTTAATGTATGAGTGTGATATTAAATTTTCTCTCAGTTTACTAACCAAACAAAAGTTGACAGACAATTTAAGGTTTTAGATTTGTCACTAAGACATTCATGAAGCATTGCATCGTCACCTGAAATCCAGCAGGGTCAAATATAGATGATGACAGCAGAATGTAGTACAAATAGAGGATAAGTCTGGAATGCCCTACACGACATTTAATTATATGAATGTTAAAGCTGCAGGGAATAAAGTTTCACATTGGCCTCAAGACATATTTTAAACTAGAAGACATACTCCTTAAGGGCAGCTCAGAGGTGCAAATGGTGATATGGTTGATGGCAAGCAGACCCAGGTTCCTCACAGAATTAAAGGACATGTGGATCATGGAGAGAACTGTGAACTTTTTGTTGCTATAAATAGATTTTTTCACCAATAAGTGCCCATCAAAGTTATACAAATTACTAGAATTAAATAAACTAAACATGGTTTAAAAAATCTCTATCTATCTATCTATCTATCTATCTATCTATCTATCTATCTATCTATCTATCTATCTATCTATCTATCTATCTATCTATATATCAGAGATGTGCGCAAGTCTTTTTTTGCAAGTCCAAGTCAAAGTCCCCCCAAGTCTCAAGTCTTTGGCTTCAAATCCATGTCTTTGACCAAAAATACAAGTCAAGTCTCAAGTCTCTTGACCTCATTTCCAAGTCTAGTTGCATGTATTACTTAACTGGCAGTTTGGTCAAAGGTATTCTAATTATACTAGATTATATTCTATTATACTATATTTTAATAAAATATTAAAACATAATACTATTTTAAAAATACAGATAAGGTTAAAGTTGAAATAAAAATCAAGCATTTAGAGTATTGTCAACTGTATTTTGCACTTGAAGTCTTACAAAAGCATACTGTAATTATATCTTGCCATTGTCAAAGAACAAATCCAACAAGTCTGTTGCTGATTTTACAATAAAATACCAGAAAAATATTTTTTAAATGCATAAAAGCATGTCAGTGAAGATGATGAACCAGAATCCTTAAAGTAAAAGGGCTGCACAAGTCATCACACAAACAAATTTTGGATTTGGACTTCACACACTTCGCATTTTGCCAGTCTCTTGTCATGGTGTTGAATAAAGTCTCTGTAAGCAAAGCTTATAATGAATGGCAGCGGAGCTGCTGCAACGCACCTGCCATGCTGAAGCTCTGTTTGTCACGTAGGGTACACGTCATTAACATTGGACGGCACTGGTCCCTCCCATTCTCAGGTTAGGGGGAGCGGAGTGTAGGGAAGAACTATTCTGACTTTAATCAAGTGCGTATATTTTCAATTTGAGAGCAGGAGTAAAGGTCTTTGCTTTTAAAACTTTATGTATTTGTTCTCAAAAGAGCAGAGCATGGAACTGCATTGAGCGAGTGAGAATCATGAGCCGGGCAGTGACAAAGACTTGCATTGTTTGCTAGTCTCAAACCACAAGTCCAAGTCAAGTCTAAGTCTCTAATAGTAGGGACTTAAGTGCAACTCAAGTCCAAGTCCAAGTCACAAGTCCCATTCTCTGATATATATATATAT